TGCAACTGCTCCCAGGCTGGGCCTAGACTGGTATGTGAGAACAAAGGATAAAACAGTGAATGAGTGTCCTCCAAATCTCTGACTTTTGTTGGAAACTTAAAATGAAAAGGGATATGTGTAACAATTGAGTTCACTGATGAACAGTAAAGCCGGGTTTATTCACAGCGCAGAAAGGGAGGGACAAGAAGGAGTTTTACTTTCCTGCTTCGACAGTATTTGATACTAGCATTGAGTAGTGAGGTATCCATTTTTTCATGATGTCATTGCTTTAACAGTTGAGTAATATTATGTTGTGTAAATGTCCCACATTTTCTTTATACCTTCTTTCTTTATAATTCTTCAGTTCAGGGACATCTTGGCTATTTTTCAGTTTCTGGCTATTATGAATAAAGCCTCAGTGAACACAGTTGAGCAAGAAGAGTTCATATGGTATATGCCCAAGAGTGGTATAGCTGGGTCTTGAGGTAGATAGATGCCCAGTTTTCTCAGGAACCATGATATTGATTTCCATGGTGGCTGTGTTTGCACTCCTACAAACAGTGGAGGCGTGTTGTCCTTGCTGTACTTCCTCACCAGCATGAGTTGTCACTTGGGTTTTTGATATTAGCCATTCTGACAGGTATAAGATGGAATCTAAAAGTAGTTTTGATTCAGATTTCCCTGGTGGCTAAGGATGCTGAACATTTCTTGAAGTGTTTCTCAGCTATTTGAGATTCCTCTGTTGAGAATTCTCTGCTAAGATTCATAACCCATTTTAATTACTAATTGTTGACCTTAGTTGGTGCCTGCACTCTTGGTGTTCTGTTCAGAAAGTTGTCTCCTGTGCCAGTGCAATCAAAGCCTTCCCCCACTTAGTCTTTTATCAGTTTCAATGTGTCTGGTTTTATGTTGGGGTCATTGACATTTTGTGCAGGGTGATAAATGTGGATCTATTTGAATTCTTCTATATCCAGAAATTCAGATTAACAGGCACCATTTGTTGAAGGTACTGTCTTTTTTACCATTTTACATTTCTGAATTTCCTTGTCAGAAGTCAGCTGTCCACATGTGTTTGGATTTATCTCTGGGTCTTTAATTTGATTCCATTTTTCAATGTATCTGTTTTACTGCCAGTGCCAAGCTGTTCTTTTATTGTTCATGGTTGCTTATCTATCCTGTTTTCTGTTATTCATATCAAACTGCACACTGTCCTTTCAAGGTCTTCAAACAAATGTGTTAGAATTTTGATAGGGATTGTGCTGAATCTTTAGATTGCTGTTGGTCAGATGGCCTTTTTACTGTGTTAATCCTACTGATTCATGAGCATGAGAGATCTTTCCATGTCCTGGTATCTTCAATTTCTTTCTTCAAATACTTAAGGTTTTTAATCACACAAGTATCTCACTTGCTTTGTTAGAGTTACTCAAACATATTTTATATTATTTGAGGCTACTGTGAAGGGTGTTTCCCTTATTTATTTCTCATTTTATATAGGAGGGCTACTGACTTTTTGAGTTCCTCTTTATCAAGCCACTTTGCTGAAAGTGTTTATCATCTGTACTTTCCTTGTCAAATTTTAGGGTCACTTGTGTATTCGATCATATCATCTACAAATAACAATACTTTGACTTTTCTAATACAAATTATATCCCACTGATGTCCTTCAGTTGTTTTATTGGTCTATCTAGAACTTCAAGTACTCTATTGGGTAGATATAGAGAGAGTTCACAGCCTTATCTTGCTCCAGATGTTAGTGAAATTCTCTCAATCTCATTTGTTGTTAGCTATAGGCTTAGTGTACATTTCCTTTATTATTTTATGTATGTACCTTGTATCCCTAAACTCTTCAAGACTTTTATGATGTATGATCTTGTCAAAGGCTTTTTCAGCATCTAATAGGATGATACTGTGTTTTTTTTATAGTTTATTTTTGCATTGGATTACATTTACTGATTTTTGTATGTTGAACCATCACTGCCTCTCTGGGATGAAGCCTACTTGTTTAGTTTGATCTTTTGATGTGTTCAGGTTACAATATATTTAAAAAATGTGTAGGCTTGGGAAAGAGAAGAAGATGGATAAAGTAAATAATGGTAAAGTCCTTACAATAGAAATAGAGTAATAAAAAATAAAATAAACTACATAAAAATGGGAAATACACAGAGTCTAGATTTTATTTTTTATTGTATTTTCTTTGGATTTTTGACTGTTAATGAGCTAACTGCTAAAAGACATTTGGTTATAAAAGCTGCTAAATTAGATATGTTTCTTTGGGAAAGAGGTTCTGCTTTTATTTCCACAGAAAATGAGATGATATGGATTCATTCCAGGTTTAAGAAAAATCAGGTTTGATCAAGGAAGATCCCCTGAAAATCCTGAATACACACATGGGAAAATAAACCTAAAGTATCTACAAGACATGTGACATGTTTTCCCTGCTCAAATATAAAACAAAAAATCTTTGGCTGGCTTGTATAAATACAGTTTATATTTATATTAATACAGATATATATGTTACCTTTAAAGGTTTATATATTTTCAGAACAAGGAGACCAGTCTCCAATAAAAACAGATGGCCCAGATGATCCAACATTTCAATACACCTCTGTTACAGTTTCCTCTGAGTTCTGCATACAAAACAGCTTCAAGGCTGCTGCTTGACATGCACCAACCACACAAATACTCCAATCAGGACTTGACTGTATTTCTAAAGTTTCTCAGGGTTCCCATAAGATTACCAGCACATACAATCAGCAGGAAGTGATCTAGAGAACTATACCCAAATTTCCAAAATATTGTTTATTGACCCATCCCGCAGGCCAGGTTATTTGATGAGACCCGAGGAGGCACCTCCTGAAAGATCAATGGGGGTGAGAGAGAAAGGAGACCAGGCGCATAAAGGAAGACAGAGTCAGTCTGAGTCTCGTCAAGGTCTCGTTTATTGACTGGGTGTTGAGGCTTATAAGCAGGGCTTCAGACAGGGAGGGGGAGCAGGGGAAGCAAGGAGAGAAGAATGGAAAATTCCTAAGGGAGGGTGAGGTCGCTTTGGTCCCAGGCCCCTGCAGCTGGCTGATTAGCACGTACTCCAGGAAGTTTATCTAATCGTATATGGTGCAGTTAGGCCAGGAACTTCCTGCTTTTGCAAGGTTTGATAAAGTAAGGAAGGTCACACAAAGTTCAAGACACAGCTGTCCGGAGTCGGTCCCCAACAGTTTATGAATGTTTGTTTTCATTTAAGGGTGGTTGGTTCTAAATTGTTATTGGTCATATTCAATCTCTTTCTAAGGAGAAAGGGGGATATGATATAAAAATGATGTAAAAAAGGTTAGATTGTTGAATCTACTTTATTCCAAAAACCTACTGTTAATCTCAAAATACTTTACATTGGTATGGATTTTAGTTTATTGATACAAATTAAAGTCATGTTTGTTATACTCTATATATTTCTACTCTTGTTTAAGGTATTATGTTTATATATCTCAATTAAAATATACAATTAAAAATTCAGATTAATAGTCATAAATCAGACTTACAGTCATTTTAGTTAGATTTTCTAGATATACAATGTTATATTTCACATAGGTAATCTTCAGACACTTCAAAGACCTACAGATATGGCATTTATAATGTTTTAATAATTTAGACTTTTCATGACACATCTGCTCCTGGCAGCACCAATATACTCCAAAAAGATGATGGGCATTGAAGAAATTCCATATGAGGTTTGTTTTCTTTATGGCAAAAGCTAGCCATGTGGGCAAAGAAATTTCCCTTGCCTCGGTTACTGACAGTTATTGTCCAGACTGGAGCAACAGGACGTAAGAAAGTTTACTACCAAACCTTGCCAAGACAAGGTAGGATAGTCCTTAAAAATTCTGTGCTTTACAGAAAAGTCTGTCAGATATGCTAAGCCTGTAGGCCAAAATTGGATGCCTCAGTGTTGCAAAGGAAACTTGAGTGACTGTCTAGGCAGCCAGCTGCTTCTCTCATTTCTTACATTATTTGTAAGTCACTTGCTTGCACTTCCTGCATACTCAGCTATTATAATTTCCTTTTAAGGTCTTTGATGGAGTTGAAGACAAGATAGTTATAGTTATAGTTTCATTAATTGAGATAAAGAATAAACTAGACAAAAATTTAGACTCACCAAGCTAGGATAGATAATTAAATGTTTTCTTTGATTTTGTCAAAATACAAATAGAGTAGATATTGTAACTATAATTCTTATTTGGTAACTATTTTGTTATTTGTAATTTTAGTATGTTAAAGTTAAAAACCTTCCTCTTTGATTAGACAGAAAAGGAGAAATGCTGTGGGAGGATCCTTCTGTATGTTGTAAATGTTTGTTGCTCTCATTGGTTGATAATAAAAGATAATTTAGCCTATAGCCAGGTAGAATAAGACTGTGTGGGAAAGCCAGATATAGACACAAGGAAAAGAAAGGACAGAGTCAGGAGACTCTGGCCAGCTGCCCATGAAACAAGATGCCAAAGAACAGATAAGCCACAAGCCACATAGCAATACATAGATCAAAAGAAATGTGTTAATTAAAATGTAAGAGCTAGGAAGTAATAAACCTGAGCCATCAGCCAAGCATTTATAATTAATGTAAGCTGCTATGTGGTAATTTGGGAAGTGACTGCTGGGTATAATCAGGTAGACAGGACAGAAAGCTCTACCTCCATTTACAATCCATTGAATACCTCAAATTGGAATCCCCAGAGTCTGTCTACCTCTATACTGTTGCAATCTTCAGATTGTTAAGGGCCATTCCAGAAACCCAATTTTCCACTGTCACTGTCTCAGATTCAATATATCTAATGTAACAGCATTTGATATAAATTATCTATGATCATTTAAAAACAATAGCCTGAATTTATGGATATCTGTATAACTGTGGCATCATGAAATGAATAGGGTAGTGTTCCTTCTGTTTCAATTTTGTGGAATAATTTGCAGAGTATTGGTTTCAACTCTTCTTTGAAAGTCTGGTAAAATTTTGTGCTAAAACCATCTGGCCCTTGGTTTGTTTTTTGGTTGGTTGGTTGGTTGGTTGGTTGGTTGGTTGGTTGGTTGGTTTGGTTTGTTTTCCTTTGGTTTTTGTTGTTGATGGGAGACTTGTAATGACTTGTTTTATTTTACTAGGTGCTATAGGTTTATTTAAATTGTTTGTGTGATGTTGATTGAACTTTGGTAAGTGGTACCTACCAAGAAATTTATCCATTTCTTTTAAAATTTCCAATTTGGTGGAGTACAGGTTTTTAAAGTATTTCCTTGTGATTCTCTGACTTTCCTCATTCTCTGTTGTTATGGGCCCCCTTTCATTTTTGATTTTATTAATTAGGGTATTCTCTCTGTGTCTCTTAGGTAGTTTGGATAAGAGTTTGCCTGTCTTGTTGATTTTCTCAAAGAACTGACTCTGTATTTCTTTCATTGAATCCTTGTATTTTTCTTTGTTTCTATTTTGTTAATTATAGCCCTCAACTTGATAGTTTCTTTCTGTCTCCTCCTCTGGGGTATATTTACTTCTTTTTGTTCTCATGCTTTCATGTGGGCTGTTAAGTTGCTAGTATGAGATCTTTTCATTTTTTTCCTGAGGTTTTTTTTTTTTGGTGGGGGGGTGAGAAAGGGTTTCTCTGTGTAGTTTTGGTGCCTGTCCTGGATCTCACTCTGTAGACCAGGCTGGTCTCAAACTTAGAAATCCACCTGGATCTGCCACCCAAGTGCTGGGATTAAAGGCGTGCGCCACTGCCACCTGGCTTTTTTTTCCTTCTTTTATGTAGACACTCAATTCTATATAGTTTCCTCATATCACTCCTTTCATTGTGTCCTCTAAATTTGGATATGTTGTATAATTATTTTCATTGAATTCTAGAAACTCTTTAATTTCCTTCTTTATTTCTGCCTTGACCTATTTTCTTCAGTAGAGTGTTGTTCAGTTTCCATGAGTTTTTAAGCTTTCTGGGTTTTTTTTATATTTTTTTTAATATGCAGCTATAATCCATGGTGGTCTGATAGGATGCAAGGACTTATTTCAATTTTCTTGTATCTGTTGACTTGAATTGTGTCAAGTGTGTCATCATCCTTGGAGAAAATTCCGTGTCGTACTGAGAAAAAAGTGTATTCTTTTTCTTTGGGTGGAATGTTCTGCAATATCTGTTAGGTTCATTTGCCTTATAAATTCTGTTAGCTCCAATATTTCTCCATTTGGTTTTCATCTGGATAACCTCTCCATTGGTGAAGATGGGGTATTGAAGTCTACCACTATCAAACACTGTGTGAGACTCATTGTGTCATTTAATTTGTACAAGTATTTCTTTTAAAAAGGTGAGTGACCTTGTATTTGGGACATAGATATTAATAATTGAAATGTCATATTGGTGGAGTTTTCTTTGATGAATAAAGAGTGTTCTTCCCCATCTCTTTTGATTAATTTTTGTTTGAAGTCTATTTTTGTAGATAATAAAATGGCTACAGAAGCCTGCTTCTTAGTGCCAATTGCTTTAAATGTGTTTTTCCCAGCCTTCACCTTTTAGTAATCTCTATCCTTGACGTTGAAGTGTGTTTCTTTTATGCAGTGGAAAAATGGATATTGTTTTTGAATCCATAGTGTTAATTTGTGTCTTCATTGGGGAATTATGGCCATTGCTATTGAGAGATATCAGGAATAATGATTATTAATTCCTGTTATTTTGTTGTTGTTATTAGTGGTGGTGGTGGTGGTATGTGTATGAGAGTATGTTTGCTTGTGTTTGTGTGTATGTGTTTCCCTTCTTTTGGTTTTACTGATGTGATATTTATTTACTGTGTTTTCATGTGTGTAGTTAGCTTCCTTGGGTTGGATTATTCCTTTTAGTACCTTCTGTCGGGCTGGATTTGTATGTAGATACTATTTGAATTTGACTTTATCGTGGAATATCTTATTTTCCCCATTTATAGTGATTGAAAATTTTCTGGAGATAGTAATCTGGACTGGCATCTATGGTTACATGTGTCCAAGCCCTTATGGCTTTTAGAATCTCCACTGAGAAGTGAGGTGTAATTCTCACAGGTCTGCCTTTATATGTTACTTAGTCTTTTTCCTTTGCAGCTTTTAATATTCTTTCTTTTTCCATATGTTTAGTGATTTGATTACTATGTGACAAGGGGACTTTCTTTTCTGGCCCAATCTATTTGATGTTTTACTTGCTTCTTTGTACCTTCATCAGCACCTCCTTTAAATTAGGAAAAATTTATTATAAAATTTTATTGAAAATATTTTCTGGACATTGGAGCTGGGTTTTTTCTCTTTCCTCTATTCCTGTCTGTAGATGTATCCAACCTTCTTATTAAATAAGAAACACAGAACCAATGCAAAGAAGAAAGCCAAGAGGTCAGAGCTAAGAGCTAAAACCTTACCCTTCCTCCTGCGGTGGTCCTACCTCTCCGAACCAGAGCTACCCCTGTGTTAAAGTCTTTATATAGAGTTCCTGTCCTGCCTTCTCATTGGTTGTAAACCCAACCACATGACCGCCTCCTCACAGCCTGTCTGTATAGGCCTCCAGGTTTTCCATGATTGGTATTAAGATTAAAGGCATGTGTATCCAATAATGGCTGTATCCCTGAACACACAGAGACTTACCCAGCTCTGCCTACCAAGTGCTGGAATTACAAGCGTACACTACCACTGCCCTGCTTTCCTATGGCTTGCTAATAGCTCTGACCCCCGGGCAACTTTATTTATTAACATACAAATAACATTTTAATACAAATAAAATATCACCATACCTGACATTCATAGGTTTGGTCTCTGCATAATGTTCCAGATTTCCCGGTTGTTTTGTATCAGGAAATTTTTATATTTAACATTTTCCTTAACTGATGTATCATTTCTTCTATTATATCTCCTGTACCTGAGGTTCTCTATTCCATCTCTCTCTATTCTATTGGTGAGCCTTGCCACTGTACTTCCTGTTTATAGTCCTAAATTTTTCATTTCTGGAATTCCCTCAGTTTCTGTTTTCTTTATTGTTTCTATTTCCATTTTCAGGTCTTAAACAGTTTTATTTGTGTCCTTCAACTATTTGTTTTATTTTGGCTTTATTTTAATTGCTTATTGGTTTACTCTAATTGTTTGTGTTTTCCTAGCTTTCTTGGAAGAATTTATTGATTCCCTCCAATTGTTTGTTTGTGCTTTCATGAATTTATTTAAGGGAATTTATTTGTTTTCTTTTTAAGGCCCTCTATCATCTCCATGTAGTTTGTTTTAAGGTCTTTTTCTTGTATTTCAGCCATGTTAGAATACTCAGGGCTTGCTGTGATAGTATAGCTGACTTCTGGGTGTGACATATTGCCCTGACTGTTATAATGTTCCTATGCTCAGCATCTGGGTTTGGGGTGATGCTAGTTCTAGGTGCTGGTTGGACGAGAGTTTTGTTTCCTGGTTTCTTTTTGTTCTCTGGAGTTTCAGAGTATGTGTTGATTGAGTGTTCCTGTTCTTCTTGGCTGGTGTGTTCAAGGGCAAATGCTTGGTGGTGTTGAAAACTGGGGGAAGAGGAAGGTGGGAGAGAGGATCTTAGGGATCCTTAGGAGGCATGGAGAGGGAAGAAAGGAAGCTGCCTCTGGTTTTCTACTCCAGTGATAGGGGCAACTTTTAAAATCAGGTCTGGGGTAAGAGACAATGTGGTAGATCTGCAGACATCCTAACTAGTCTTCTGGAAAGTGTGGCAAGTAATTGTGCAGGGAGTGTCTACCCCAGTTAGGAGATAGGACTCAGATATGAGGTGAGTAGGGAAGAGTAGGTGGGGATGGTCCTTGGAATCTACAGGAGACATGGAAAGAGAGAGGAGTAACTGCAGCTGGAGTTCTCTTTCAGCCCTAGGGGCAACCTTGAGTATTGGGTCTTGGGTAACAGAGAGTGGGGAAGGTCTGTGGGTAGCCTACCTGGTCCCATACCCAACATCATAATACTGATTCATTAGGTTCCCAGAGATCATTTATTTACTTATTTCTTTATTTAGATTTCTTTTGTGGTTAATCTGTGAAAGACTTTTAGTTTATTGGATAAAAAGTACTATGTGGACTGCGCATGTCACTCAATAAGTATTCTTCTTGGGAGAGGTCAGATACTAGCACACAAGTTGGGAGGCTTCTAATCACCTGCTGTTCTTGATCCAGGGGATCTGGCATACAAAGAGTATGCCAAAGAGTGTGTCACCTATACACACATGGAAAACATTCTGTCTCACTCATACAAATATACACATAAAAATGGAGCTAAACTTGTTTTCAAAAGCCCTTATGACTTATAAAGTAATTAGAGGAAATCAGGTTGCTTTAGGTATATAATACAAATCATACAATATTTATTTTAAAAACTATTATCTTTCATTTTGTTTGAAAATTTTTCATTTCCTCTGATGGAGACATACATTTAATCTTCAATCATAGGCAACAAAATTATTTCTAAATGATTTAACAAACATCCTATTCTTTATTAAAGGAGAATGACATAGTATTAGTAGCTAAAACTATTTTCTACAGTGTAGAAATTTCTACAATGGAAGTATTCAAGTGAACCTATCCAATTTTGGTGGGACAGTCCTCCTCACCCAACTCATTTTTTATTATTGGCAAAGGAGAGAACTGGAGTGCACAGGGTGAGTGGTGGTCAGTGATTTCTATGATATTGATTTTCATTAGAATCTTATAGTTCTTGTTTAAGAGACAATGCTATATTTGTAGGTCTGTCTTTCTGTCTCCTTTTATCAGTGGTACCACCTATATTGTTTGATTTTTTTTATTAGTTATAATCTAATTATATTGTTTCTCTGGAAAATGATGAGCCTTCACCTATTTTTATTTTCTGGTAAATTACTATATTATGTTAGGAGTTCCTTGAGTTTCTTGGTTTGGAGATTTTCTGTGGAGAAACAATTTTAGTTTTCTCTTCTTGATCTTAGAAGCCTGTATTTCCTCATTTCTTGGCATATCTGTGTTTCCAGTTGTTATTATCATCAATGTTTATATTTTTGCAATTTATGTTACTGATGTAGTTGATACATTGGTTGTTGGTTTGTAAAATCTTCTCATATATTATTGTCTCTGTGTCCTAGTTAATTCCAGATGTCAACATTTCAGAGCCCACAGTCACCATGGATAAGTCTTTGAGAGATTTTGATAATTGATGATTGATGGGTGACAGATCTTGCACTGAGTATACAATATCCCTAAGAAAGTTGTCCTGCACTAGATAAGATAGCAACCTGGGCATGAGACAATGACCATGTCAGAGAGAAAGCCTAGAAACAAAGATTCCTCATGGTTTTGCCTTCAGTTGCTAGATTGAATTTCTGTCCTAAGCTCCCAAAATGATGGATTGTGATCTGGCAGAATCAGCCAAAAAACACATTCATTACCTGAGGTGCTTTTGTTTAGAGAATTTAATCAGAGCAAGAAAAAAGCAAGTTATAACAGAATGTGGTACACCAAAAGTGATTTTGTTACTGCAAAGAACCTGGAAATGATGACTTTTGGAGGAATGTTGGGGTTATCAAGATTTAGACGGCAAAGGACATAGAAAGCTGCACACAGAGCTTAACTGGTTATTCTTGTAGGATTTGGAATAAAGTACTGTTGAGGGTACTGCAAACAGTGGAGGTAGAGGTCACAGGATTTCATTCAGAATTAAAATAGAACTCATTTGTGTGGTACTTTGGCCCCTAATCTTTCTTATTATGCCCATGCCCCCAAGAAATTGAGTAAGGCAGAATTAAAAAAATAATGGGGCTGATTTCTTAGATGGAACATTGAATCTCTTGGATGGCTATTACTTATTCATTCAAGACTATAGTGGAAAAAAATCAATAAGTTGATCATAAAAAATGAAAAGTCTATGGGTTGTAGAGAAAAACATTATGTATTTTCAGATGGCAGTCAAATGCAGAACAGAGGCAGGAATTTTCAGGGGGATTGTCACCATTAAAAAGAAGGCCCTTACTCTACATTGGAAGCCTAGCAAGGTGCCCTAAGTATAAGAATCCATCCTTCTATACCTCAGTTAACGGAGGGATTAGGCAAAGTGATTTCCAGTCCCAGGAAGCAACTTCATACAAAGCCTGCTGCAATTCTGGTCCAAGCATGACAGGGGTCATTCACATCTTAGAAGCCAAATTTGGGGGAATCATTAATGTTGAACTGGTTCTGGAAACCAGAATGATACAAAATTTAAAATCATTCATTCTTAGTCTATGTTTTCAGTCCAGCACTGTTGTAGGCATCTGTGTTTGGTATGGTAAGAGCTCCAGTGAGAAGACTGTGAGAGTTTATTGCATGATGCTATGAGGATGAAGCCTGGGTTGTATTTTGAGAACACAAGATGCTGAGATACTTAAGCTATGAGACATCTTCCATGGAAAGCTGCATATATGGAGTAGAAGTAACCAAAGAGAAAGATGTATGGGAAATTGTGGGGAGAGAGCCATCTAAGCCCTTTGAAAATGAAGCCCCATCTGACACATGACTACTAGATTTGATGGTTGCCCTGCTGGGTTTCAGTCTTCCCTTTGTCCAACCTTTCTTCACTATGTCTCAATTCCTCTCCTTTGGAATGGGAATGGGTTTTCTGTGCTGTTTGTATGTTGGAAAGATTTAACTTGTTTTCTGATTTTATAAGATGACACAGTGAAGAATTTGTCTTGAGTGTCAAAAGATACTTTGGACATTTGGACAGTGTAGGGGGTTCTTGCAGACTATGAGGATCATTGAGGTGACTAAGTACATTTTCTACATGGATGATCATGAGCCTATAGTAACCTGGGTCAGAATGTAGTCAACTGAATGAAAAGTTCCCAGATAGGATGAGGTATTTGAACATTTGTCTCTCCTTGGCATCTTATTTGGGATGCTTGTGGAACCTTTAGTAGGAGGAATCTCTCTGGAAGAAATTTCTCACTGGGGGGTGTGATATGTGTCTCTATAGCCTTAACCTATTTCCTTTTCTATGTTTCTACTATGTTGGCTGAGTAATCCTTCTGTCCTAAATACAAGCTTTGGCTGAGTAATCCTTCTGTCCTAAAAGTAGCTCTGTAGACCAGGCTGGCCTTGAACTCAGAGATTAACCTGACTCCTTATCCCACATACTGAGATTAAAGGTTGACCCACATTTCAGGTTTTTTCATATCTGTTATTGGGTGATGGGCCTAGAGTATATGTTTTTGTACACGTCAAGCATATGCTGTTTTACTGAGCTTTACCCCCAGCTTGAATTTTGAAATTAGGATATCATTCGCTTTCCCAGGATACAGTATTCATGACATTAATACTGCCTGGGCCTTCTGAGTCATTTAGATTACAGGTGTGTGACATTCTTCCTGCTTGTTGTGTTTGTTTTGATTTTTTTTATGAATATGATTCTTTTGCCTGTATACATGGATATGCACTACACATATGCCTGGTCCTCACAGTAGTCAAAAGATGGTCTTTGTACCCATGAACTTGGTATATGAACAGTTGTGGGATTCCCCCATGTAAGTACTGGCAATTGAGCCCATCTATATACAAGACCAGCAAGAGCTCTTAACTTCTCTGCCATCTCTCCTGCCCTGTGTTGATTATTTATGATCAACATTGATATTGCTAATGCTATCATCTGACTATGTGTAACTGTTTGAATGCACAGTTCCCTTTAGTAAGATTTATTAAAGTACAATTTAAACTGGAGCAATTCAGGTTTCTGGAAGATGAATACAGAACTGAAGTTAATGCCTGAGTTCATCCTATCTTTCTTGTATGTCTGATTGATGTTTGCAGTGCAGACAGGTTCTTAATATTTACTTCTTACTGTCCTGAACTGAATGCATAGACTAGGCTAGCTTTCAACTCAGATGCACATATTCTTGCTTCTGCCTTCTGAATGCTGGGATTAAATGCATGAGCCAATACACCCAGCTTACTCATCTTTTTTGTAGTTAGTAATTGTTCATATAATTTCTCTGATGTGTCCTCAGTACTGTTGATATATTTGCTAGTCTCTGTGTTTGCTAGTAGGCGTTTTTCTTGCAAGATGTTAGCCCATTAAAAGCATTCAGAAATAATAGAAGTAAACCTCCTATTTCAGTTTCCTTCTAAAGTAACTTGATGATTATATTATAATCTCTGGGTTATAGAATAAATGTAGAAAGCACCAGATTTATGTGACTCTTGTCAAAGAAGTATACATTTACAATGTTGTGAGTATCATGCTTTTTGTTTTAGACTTATGTATGGCATATTTTAGGATGCAGTGACGTATAATGATGTGCATGTCGACTTCACTCAGGAGGAGTGGGCATTGCTGGATCCTTCACAGAAGAATCTCTACAACAATGTGATGCTGGAGACCTATATGAACCTCAGTGCTATAGGTAATACTGTAAAATTTTCCTTCATGTTTTAAAATAAAGGGACAACTATTTCTTGGCTATTGATGCTCTTCTGTAATTCTGATTGAGAAAGAAAAAGAATGAGGTGAATACATTAGGCATGGTTCTAAGGATCACTGAAAATAGTAACTGAAATTTTGCACAGTTTCCAGTAATATTTCATACATTTCCTCATACTATATTTTAGGCTACAATTGGGAAGATCATAAAGTTGAAGAGCATTGTCAAAGTTCTCAAAGACATGGAAGGTAATTTTCATGTGCAAGCTGATACAAATGTGCCTCTGGATGTATTTTAATGTATCTGGAAGTTTTAAAGAAATACAGCAGTGTAAATGATCATAGCTTAAAGTGAATTCATGATCATTAAATACTCACAACCCATATACCTCAAAGACAGGTAAGTGAATTGTGTTTGAAAGTCATTCTTTTTAGAAGGAAGACAAGGAATCAATGCCTTAAGAGATATCAGCATTTGAATCATAGCTCCATCAGAGCTATGCTGTAGAACTGCCAATCCATCTAATTTCATACCACTCATATTACAAAAGGTATACACATTGAGTATGTGATAAGTGTGTGTCCAAAACCTTCTAATAAGCAAATAGTCCATAGTAAAGCTAGTGTTACTCATATAGTTGTTCTGTCTCTGCTAAGTTTAGTGAGATGGGTAGTTAGAATCAAGAGTTAAGGGGAGGTTGTTGTGGAGAAACCTTAAACCCTATACCACATATCTGTGAGAAACAAAAAGTTAAGCTGTGTGGAGGCAATGTAGAAACTTTTTATTTGTTATTCTTTCTTTACTACATATATCATATGTCACTCTGGATACAAGCCATATGAACATAGGGATATGGAAAGAAGCAATGTATCCCTCTCCATCTCAGACCAATTAGAAGATATGTAGTAACCCCATGTTGAGTAGACTTTTTGAATGTGATTCAAATTTAAAAGTAATTAGTTTTCCAACTTCATTGGGAATATGTCAACAAACACACTGAAGAAAAGCCCTATGAGCACTAGGAAAGTGTAAATACTTGTTTGTCCCTGTTCACTTTGCAAATGTAGTAGGATTCACAATATAGGAAAATCTATCAATGAAATTAGGGGGTAAAATTCTGAATTCTTCCAGTTCTCTACAAATATATTAAAAGCTTCATAGAGGGAAAAAAAAGCCATAAGTGTGAGCCATGTAATCAAGGCTCATATCATCACAGTCATCTTCAAAAAAGCAAAATAATCCTTAATTTTTGGGGGGAACAAAATGAGTGTAAGCACAGTGATAAAACCTTAAGATCTGATTCCTTTTTACATTTACACCAAGTTGTAAAATTAATTCATACAGAAATAAAAGTTTAACAGTGTAATGAATGTGGTAAAGCTTTCACATTTGCAAATTATTCTTGCAGGCATGAAAGAAGTTATACAGGAGACCAATCTTCTGAATGGACTCTATGTGTTAATGCATTTGCATATCAGAGTCATCTTCAAAGGTATGAAAGAATTCATACTGAAAAGAAACTCTATGAAGGTATTCATTATAGTGAAGACTTTGCATGTCAAAGTAGTCTCCAAATACATCAAGGAACATGTACTAGAGGGAAACCATATGAATGTAAGCAATGTGGTAAAGCTTTTGCTCGTCCCAGTCATCTTCAAATGCATGAAAGAACACATACTGGAGAGAAACCCTATGAATGTAATCAGTGTGGTAAAGCCTTTGTACAACACAGTCATCTTCGAATGCATGAAAGAATACATACTGGAGAGAAACCTTATGAATGTAATCAGTGTGGTAAAGCCTTTGTTTGTCACAGTTCCCTTCAATTGCATAAAAGAGGACATACTGGTGAGAAACCCTATGAATGTAATCATTGTGGTAAAGCCTTTCCTCGTCTTGGTGATCTTAAATTGCATAAAAGAATACATACTGGAGAGAGACCCTATGAATGTAATCAATGTGGTAAAGCCTTTGTGCAATACAGTCATCTTCGAATGCATGAAAGAACACATACTGGAGAGAAACCCTATGAATGCAATCTGTGTGGTAAAGCCTTTCCCCGTTATAGTCATCTTCAAAGACATGAAAGAACACATACTAGAGAGAAGCCCTATGAATGTAATCAGTGTGGTAAAGCCTTTGGTTGTTACAGTCATCTTCAAAGACATGAAAGAACACATACTGGAGAGAAGCCCTATGGATGTAATCAATGTGGTAAAGCCTTTGTTTGTCTTGGTGATCTTCAATTGCATAAAAGAACACACACTGGAGAGAAACCCTATGAATGTAATCATTGTGGTAAAGCCTTTGCACAACACAGTCATCTTCAAAGGCATAAAAGAATACATACTGGAGAGAAGCCCTATGAATGTAATCTGTGTGGTAAAGCCTTTGCATGTAACAATGGTCTTCAAAGACATGAAAGAACACATACTGGAGAGAGACCCTATGAATGTAATCAATGTGGGAAAGCCTTTCCTCGTCTTAGTACTCTTAAATTGCATAAAATAACACATACTGGAGAGAAACCCTATGAATGTAATCAATGTGGTAAAACCTTTGCCCATCACAGTTATCGTCAAAAACATGAAAGAAGACATACTGGGGATAAAACCTATGAATGCAATGAGTGTGGTAAAGCCTTTGCTTGTCACAACCATCTTCAAAGACATGGAAGAATGCATGCAGCAGAGAAGCCCTATGGATGTAATCAATGTGGTAAAGCCTTTGCTTGTCTTGGTGATCTTCATTTGCATGAAAGAACACATAATAGAGAGAAACCCTATGAATGTAATCAGTGTGGTAAAGCCTTTGCATGTAACAGTGATCTTCAAAGACATGAAAGAACACATACTGGAGAGAAACCCTATGAATGCAATAAGTGTGGTAAAGCCTTTGCATGTAACAGTCATCTTCAAAGACATGGGAGAATGCATACTGGAGAGAAGCCCTATGAATGTAATCAGTGTGGTAAAGCCTTTGCTTGTAATAGTGATCTTCAAACACATGAAAGAATACATACTGGAGAGAAACCCTATGAATGTAATCAGTGTAGTAAAGCCTTTGCCCGTTACAATGATCTTAAAAGACATGAAAGAACACATACTGGAGAGAAGCCCTATGAATGTAATCAATGTGGTAAAGCCTTTCCTCGCCTTAGTAGTCTTCAATTGCATAAAAGAACACATACTGGAGAGAAACCATATGAATGTAATCAGTGTGGTAAAGCCTATTCACAACACAGTTATCTTAAAATACATAAAAAAACACATGCTGGAGAGGAACCCTATAAGAGTAATACTATTAGTGTGGAATTGGTTTGTTAAAGCCTGTGAATATAATATTAGACTTTGAGGATCTGGAAAACTACATACCAAAGAAAATCTGATAATAAAGGATTTGGTAAGATCTTTAGCCAACACACTTACATTCAATTACACAAGATTATTCTTGAGAAAAAAATCTCACAGGTGTTAGCAATCTGTTCAAGCATTATAGTGTCCCTCTGTATTTGGTTTACACCTGCAGACTCACATGGAAAAACAGCCTATGAATTTAAATGATATAGTGACTCTTTTAGATTTCATACTTCTCTTCAATTACATGAGATAATGAATCCAGGTGTAATAGTGCCTTTTCTGTTGCTGTGATATAACATGTCAATGTGAACTTATGAAAGTGTTTAATTTGGCCCATGGTTCCAGAGCAATACAGGATCACCATGAAAGTGACATAGAAACAAGTGTCAGACATAGCAGCTAAAGTAGGAAGCTAAGAATTCACATCCTTAATCTGCAGCATAAAGTGTAAATGGGAAATGGTAGGCAGATATAAACTCTCAGGACAATCAATCCCCAGTGACATATTTCTTCCAGCATGACAGCATTTCCTAAATCTTCCCAAATGATACCACAGTCTAAGAATGATTGATTTCTCTGACTTTAGGTCTACATGCTTGCTTTCTGTTACATGAACCAATTCATGATGGAGAAAAACTCTGTAAGACTTCAGATGCTTCAATACCTATGATACAGGAATTATAAGAGATAAACATTCATGAGTGAATATTAGTTTAAATATTTGTTTTAATTTCAATTATGCAATGTCAGTGTCTTTTTGTGGGTAGATACATGTGCATTCTGGTTCTCAAAAAGACTAGACCCTTGGAGCTTTTTATAGCAGGAATTACTGGAAGTTGTCAAAAACCTGACCTTAGTCCTGGGAATGGACTTGTATTAAGGGCTTGTCCATGTCTCTAGCCCTGTAAATATTCTAAAGCTTTTTTATATCATCTTGATATAAGAAAACAGGGAGGAACTCATACAAAAGAAAAACCCTGTGTACATAAATAATTTGGTAAAAACTTTAGACATCACAATTATCTTCAGGTTCAAGAAAAGAAACTTTTTCATCATAGCCTTGAAGTAAGTAAATTATTAACAAAGTTCACTAAAGACATTGTGGTTTCTATTTTGCAACATTTGAGGTAGAGATTATATTGTACTCTTTGTGTAGCAAATTCATTTATTGAAGTTTATTTTGTAGTCCTTATATTCCTTCTGTGGCTTTTGTTCATCTTCTATTGTGCTTTCAGTTAGTGAGAGATATTTTTCTGCTATAGTGTATAAAATGGGATGACCATCATCTAAGTGGTACATCTTTATTTAAATATTAGGCAGTATGTGATCATATTTTAAAGCAAGTGTGTCTGTGAAAGGGTGATGGGTTTCTATTACTGGTTTTATTTTTTCATATTTTTTTCACAAATTCCCTTGAAATGGTTTTTGTTATCCAGCCCCACTTGGATGGTAGTAATTAGTCAAAGATAAAATTGAAATCATGATCCTCATGTGTGAATCTCCAGAGTACAAGTGTAAGGGTAGATAATATACTCCCAATGTTTGCTGTTTTGTCAACACATATTAAGAATGTTAATGTTAAAATGATTAAAAAAATAGATGAGAATATAAGAAACATTGAATGTCTCATGTGTATCCAAAGTAACATTTTCATCTGTGTGGAAGTGATGTAATAAAGTAGGATAATCAGCAATCAACTGTATATTTCACAATATAAGTTGATGTACTGTGGATATGTATATATTATTTGAAGTACCATACATCTTCATGTCCTCATCAGTTATCCATTTGGCATAATGTATTGAAGTATTGCCTTCTAAGGAAATTATCCAGAGATGCCAGGTAATGTAACGGCAATGAGATTTATTTTTTAAAAAATTCTGTTGTATGTTTGTATAACTATGGGATTTTTTAGGCCATGACCGATGTGTGGAGAAAAGAAGACAACTTTGTGGGGTCTACTTTTGTTCAACTTCATATGGCAATCAAGATGAGATTACAGCCTTGCACAAGACAGACATTTCCAACAGAGCTGTCTCATTGATGCTCAAATAAAATTAGTTAAAACATTACATCAGTAAAATATTGTCTTCTTTTTGGATTGTAGAAATATTTTCATTGAAGCATAATGAAAAACAGGAGAAATTGAATAATAAATCCTATTTCCAAATGAAGATGATATACTGCTATCTCTTGTTTTCTTTTTCCTTTTTGTGTATGGAATGTGTTAGTTTATTATGAGGACTAAACACTAGTTCATAACACTTTCTCAGAACCACAAATGAATGCCAGAGAATAGTTTCTGAGTGAAGTTTCCATGAGTGAAGTTGGTTGCTGCTAAGCCTCATGATCTGGGTCCAACCTCTAAGTAACCGATATCACTCCTACAAATTTTTCTCTTATATCTATACTTACATTGTGGCATATGCACACTCCCACACTAGCACATACATAAATAATTTTAAAACCCAAATTAGTGTCATTGAGGTCACTTGCATCCAAATGATTCCCCTGCTTTCATTTCTAGAACTTACATAGGGTAAGTAGATAATAGACACCAAAGGTTGTACTCTCGTTGCACATACACATTCTTGTATATTATTAAAAGGACCCGCCTTAGTAATATATTTCCCAGGGGCTCAGAAGAGAAAGTACGAATGGTGAGAACTATTTTGGGGAAATGAATCTAAGTACACCATGCTCTTCGTCCATTTACTTCATTCCTCTGGGATAAAATCCTATCTGCACAGCTTCAGTTCTGTTCTCATGCCTAGCTCCATTCTTACCTGATTTCTCTCTATATTTATCTACTGTTCTAAGTTCTATCTTAATTCTCTCATCATAATTCTGTTTCATCTAGGTCCTTTTGATCTCATTCTTTTTTTTTTTTTTTTTTTTTTTTTGGTTTTTCGAGACAGGGTTTCTCTGTGTAGCTTTGCGCCTTTCCTGGAACTCACTTGGTAGCCCAGACTGGCCTCGAACTCACAGAGATCCGCCTGGTTCTGCCTCCCGAGTGCTGGGATTAAAGGCGTGCGCCACCACCGCCCGGCTTGATCTCATTCTTACCCAGCTAGTACTTCCCCATCTGGCTCTTCCTTGTCCTCCATTTTGTCCACATGTTCTCCCTGATTGAAATCCTTATCCCTCTCAGTTTTCCATTCTCAACTTCTTATACCTCAGTCCTCTCAAGTCTCTGAGGTGTTCAGTTATAAATGCAAGCAATAGTGGTCCTCTACCAGAGCAAGGTCATCAGGATTGAATTCTTACAGGGTCATAAAGGCAGGTAAGAATTTTCCTCAGGCAGTGACCATCAAGCTTTCTTTTACAACCCAAAATGGGAGTGGTAAAAGGAGGTCAACTGAGTGCTAATGACTAGTTAGTATATTAAAAAGGGGATCTGTGTGCTCAATCTACATTCCTAGAAGTGGTTAGGTAAGAAGTTAGGGGTCTATTTGTAAGGTTGTATAAGAAAGGAGGGTCTCACCCTAAATTGCACAAGAAATAAAATATCCACCTGACCTAGGAGACAGATGTTGTTTCATTTGGCCTTGGATGCTTGATAGGTACTTTAGGTAAATATGCTGTTAGGAGTTCTTGGGAGCACACAAGAAAATCATTTTAGGAGCCAGCTAATATATATACAAAAGCCAAAATATCACCAAGACTTTTTTTTTTGGTTTTGGTTTTGGTTTTTCAAGACAGGGTTTCTCTGTAGCTTTGTGTCTTTTCTGGAACTCACTCTGTAGACCAGGCTGGCCTCAAACTCACAGAGATCTGCCTGCCTCTGCCTCACGAGTGCTGGGATTAAAGGCATGCACCACCACCACCCAGCTTTACAAAGACTTCTTAAGCCATGGCTTGACTTTCAAAAAAAATTCTTGACTTTTCCAAGTAGTAGCTTTTGTGATAGTAGCTGAATTCCATTATGTTCTCCTGTGTCTAGCAGCAGCACATCATGGCAAAGGTATGTACACACAAACAGTTCAAACACTTTTACATGGATGTAAGTAACAAAGCAAAACAAAATTACCTAGTTACTGAGAGCAAATGAAAAAAGGTTTTCAGTTTAAATTATTATAGAATTTCAAGAAGTATTACTGTTCATCAAAAACTGATAGTTCTTTTTTAAATCTTATTTAATCGTTAAATTCTCTGATCCAAAGATAGGTCATTTTAAAAACATTCCTCAGTTGATCTTAGAGTTGGATGCCTGTAATCCCAGCATTTGGGAGATAGTCTGTTTCCCTGATGCCTACACAACCTTCAGTTAGGAGCCCAGAATTGTGGTGACTCCAGATGACATCCAGGTTATCAGGAAATCCTGAGACTTAAACTTAAGAAGGGTAGGGCACTCAGGAAATTACAAAGAGCTGTGGAGTATGAAATTTTAGGGAGCGAGCTTTGGGTGTAAGAACCAAAAGATCAAATGTTCAGAGAGCAATGCTTGAGGAGTACCTGAGGACAAGCTGACTCCTACTGTGCTCTCTATGTCCACTCATCTCTGGTGGAGTAGCCATGTCCAGGTCTTCCACTCTTTCCTTTTTTGGCAACTACATGTACCTATCAATGACAATACCCTGTAGCCCCCACATTTTGGCCCCCATTTGGACTTTAAGACTCCTCAGTTCCCAAACATATTCCCGTAACATGCCTGCATGGTAAAAATAAGGATAGTCTAGAGAGAGATTTATATCATTTCCTTTGCTAACACCTAGCAAAATAGTGCAACCCATGATATTCCAATTTCACTGGGAATCTCGTGGTAGAAAAAGACTTGAGTTTTCAGGATGAGAATGTCTCTGCTGAAGAAACATTTACTCCTTATCTGACCACATAGCAAGAGAGACACAAGTTGAAAATTGGGGAGGGTTTTAGAAATGGGAAAAATTAATTATATAGCTTTATTAGATTACTTATTTTTGCTTATCTTTTGCCTTCTGTCTAAACCTCTTAGAACCCCAAGGATTAGTTACCTTATAATTCCATCACTGTTCCAAATTACTAAAACTGAATAAATACTATGTTTTCAGTGTTCATTAATAATGTGCTTTCTTTTTCTTTCCAAATCTTCTTTCTTTCTCTCTTCCTTCCTTTCTATCTATCTTCCTTTTTTATTTTAAAGAATAGTGTTACTATGAATCCCTGGTTGACCTGGAACTCACTCTAAACATTAATTTGTCATAAAACATCAGATCTGCTCACCTTGCTTTCAAAGTGCCTGCATTGTAGGTAGGCATGTCACAATTGAATAACTTTATTCTTTTAAATGGCATAATAAGGATGAGAGCCTGAGCCTGGCTGGCTAGGGTACCAAGAACACTGTCTCTATTAGATAGTTATAGTTATATATAGTTAGTTGAAGATTAGATAGTTAGAGTTTTTCTTGTTAAGAATTTCAGAAAAGAGGGGCTGGAGAGATGGCTCCGAGGTTAAGAGCACTGGCTGTTCTACCACAGGTCTTGAGTTCAATTCCCGGCAACCACATGGTGGCTCACAACCATCTGTAATGAGATCTGGTGCCCTCTTCTGCCTGCAGGCATACATGCAGACAGAGCACTGTATATGTAATAGCTAAATAAATCATAAAAATAAATTAATAAAATAAAACTTATTTAAAAAAAGAATTTCAGAAAAGAAACTCTCTAAAGAGGTGTAAAGTGTATAAATTTAAAAGACATAAGATCGTTTCCTGTTAGTAATACAAGATAGGATAGAAAGTGAATCAGGTACACTTTGGACTTACCAAAATAGGATAGATAATGGAATATTTTCTCTGAGATTGTCAAATATAAATGGACTAGATATTGTTGAGGTATTTATTGCTTGTATATATTGTATATAGTTACTGTACTTATTGTATATATAGTTTTTCTTATATTAATTATAACTTTTTTCTTTTTATTAGAATAAAAGGAGGAAATGTGATATTTTAATTGTGTTGAAATGTGATTTTATTTGTATGTTAATAAATAAAGTTTGCCTGGAGATCAGAGGTCACATAGTGAGGTCACATAGCAAGCTATAAGCAGAGTCAGGAGGTGGTGGCACACACCTTTATTTTATAATTTAATTTTATATATCAGCCACAGATTCCCCTGTCCTCCCTTATCCCAATCCACTCCCCAGCCCAACTCCTCCAGGGCAAGGACTCCCCTGGGGATTCAGCTCAGCCTGGTAGATTCAATTGAGGCAGGTCCAGTCCCCTCCTCCCTTCACCTAGGCTGAGCAAAGTGTCCCAGCATAGGCCCCAGGCTCCAAAAAGCCAGCTCATGCACTAAGGACAGGTCCCAGTCCACTGCCTGGGGGCCTCCCAAACAGTTCAAGCTAATCGACTATCTCACTTATCCAGAGGGCTTGATCCAATTGAGGGCTCCTCAGGTATAGGTTCATAGTTCATGTGTTTCAACTAGTTTGGCTATTTGTCCCTGTGCTTTTTCCAATCATGGTCTCAACAACTCTCACTCATACAATCCCCCCTCTTTCTCACTGATTGGATTCCTGGAGCTCCACCTGGGGCCTGACCATGGGTCTCTGCATCCGCTTACATCAGTCAATGGATGAGAGTTCTAGCATGACAGTTAGGGTGTTTGGCCATCTGATCACCAGAGTAGGTCAGTTCGGGCTTTCTCTCAACCATTGGCAGTAGTCTACTGTGGAGGTATCTTTGTGGATTTCTGGAGACCTCTCTAGCACTTTGCTTCTTCCTATTCCCATGGGGTCTTGATTTATCATGGTCTCTCTTTCCTTGTTCTTCCTCTCTGTTCTTGACCCAGCTGGGATCTCCAGCTCCCCTAAGCTCTCTTTCCCTTGACCCTTGACCTTCATTATGACCTCTCACGTCCAGTTTGTTCATGTAGCTCTCATCCATTTCTATGTCGTTGGGCTATCCCTTTGTCTTTCTTAGGGTCCTCTTTACTAGGTAGCCTCCCTGGAGTTGTGAGTAGCAGTCTAGTCATCCATTGTTTTACATCTAGTATCCACCTATGAGTGAGTACATACCATGTTTGTCTTTCTGAGTCTGGGTTACCTCACTCAGGATGATTTTTTTCTAGATCCATCCATTTGCCTGCAAACCTCATGATGTCATTGTTTTTCTCTGCTGAGTAGTACCCCATTGTGTATATGTACCACATTTTATTTATCCATTCTTCAGTTGAAGGGCATCTAGGATGTTTCCAG